TTGTGTATATTGAGTCCCCATAAATACCTTTAAAATTATTCCAGAAATCTTCATTTGCATTCATTTTCTTTATCTACAATTTATTCTGCTCTCAATGTCTCACTTTTTAGCCACCCATTCAGATGCACTACGAGCAGAGGCTACAAGTGTGTTAAGTGAAAGATCATATCCCTGGCATTCCTTAAGAAAAGAATGTTTATTCTTTGGCCACTGGATGGTGCAGGTAGCTGTGCTGATCAGTTACTTTGATAACTGTATTAGAAGGTCTGATAGAATGTAATCAAGCAACTGATGGGCAGACTGCATGACTGAAAACTACACCATCCATTGGCCAGCTCCCTTTCTGGAGCATGCACATATAAAGGGAGTCAGGGGTTGTGTTCTTTCACTCTGGTTCAGATGAGACAGAAGTGAATTGAATAGGGGCTCTGCAAAGAATTAAGGCAGTGGTAGTTTTGCAGTCAGCAGGAAGATGATGTATCAACTGCCCCTGCTGGGTGTCATGAAGAGCTGGAAATTCTAAAAAACAGCAGCTGCAGCTAGAGATATGGACTGAGGCAATGCACAAATAATTCACCAATTCTAATACATTGTTTATCATGAAATGAATGTGACCTTAGTAGTAATGTAAAGAGACTTCCATCTGACACAGCAGCAGTAAAACACAATTCACTGCCAATCCTGAAAGGCTTAGTGTGTGGATCTTTGCTCTTTGTACTGTAGCCACAGTATTGACTGCATTGTTAACACTGTGCTTAAAGTGATTCTAAAGGTTCATTTTTATTTTTATTTTGGAAAATAAAAAAATATGTCTATACTTACCTGCTGTGTGTTGTGTTTTTGCACAGAGCAGCCTGGATCCTCTTCTTCTCGGGTCCTCCGCAGGCTCTCCTGGCTCCTCCTGTCTTTCAGGTGCCCCCACAGCAAGCAGCTTACTATGGGGGCACTCGCTGTTCCGTGTGTCCCCACAGCAATCAGCTTGTTATGGGGTCACCCGCTGCTCCGTGTGTCCCCACAGCAAGCAGCTTGCTATGGGGGCACCCGCTTCTCCGTGCCTCGTCTGCTCTTTCTCCTCATCGGTTGACTGGCTGTGATTGACAGCAGCGGGAGCCAATGGCTCCTGCTTACTGTCTCAGCCAATGAGGAGGCAAAGACCTGGGACAGTCAAGGCTGTCATTCACATCGCTGGATTGCACTGAGGCTCAGGTAAGTATTGAGGAGGCTGGGGGAGCTGCTGCACACAGGTTTTTTATCTTCATGTATAGAATGCATGAAGGCAAAAAACCTTCAGCCTTTACAACCACTTTAAAAAGCAGGCCTGTTAAATTGCATTGGCCAACTTTGTACTGCTGCCCAAATCCACTAGTTGACTCAATGGACACAGATGACTTTTCTTTGTGATTTTATATGAAAATGTGTTCAAATGGAACATTGATTGCCTTCAGTAGGTGCATGAAATTTAAGTGACTGTGAGTGTTGCAATTTTTTTTTTTTTTTTTTTTAACCTAGATTGAAAGGTCTAGAGCAAATTACCAAGTCCACTATGCTTGGCCATCTCCTCCCAGTACTACTTACATCTCTCATGCACCCCAATCTGCAGACCTTAACAATGGCAGATGCTCTGATGCCTCAACTAGTGCAACTTGTACTCTACACCAGTCAGGTATGTCATAACGCTCTGAACTGATACTCGCCACACAGAACAAGTAATCCTGTTACTCTGCTTTCAAACGTCATCCTTATACTGTTTTATGTCCCTTTTTTCAGACTGCTCTACTGCTTAAAACTCAGTGCACTGCTCTGGCAGATGTGGGAACTTCCCCAATTGGGATTTCAGAGCAAAAGAACAAAGTGTCACCAGATGACAGGTAATATGTTAGTTTGAATTTTTATGTTTTTTTGCCAAATTTCTCTTTCCTAGTAAACAAAAAAAGAAAATGCAGTAAACCCTCACTGTGTGTTTAAAAATAGGTATCCGACCAACCAACACTTGATTCTGTACGTTCTTTGCCTTGTTTTAGTGTAAGGTCTAATCCTTGCATAGCTTCTCACCAGTAATATGGACCATTCTAAACACTGCTTGAAGTGATTTGTTATAGTGGTAGAAAACATAGTAACCATGATCAATGTAAAACTGCTGTTTGGACGAAAAATAACTTGTCTGATGAAATCCAATGTATTTCAAGGCTGCCAAAAATTATAAATCTGTAAGTATGCCAGCATTGCCCTCATATGTTTAAAGCACAACTATCTATAAGGGAAATTCCCCTTACTTTAGGTGATTTTCTATAACTTCTGTTGCATCTCTGGGACAGGAAGTAAAGGAAAATTTCCCCAATGGTAGATAGACCGCAAAAAAATGAACACCTGGCAAGAGTTTTGACCCTTCCCGACTTTATCCAAATCTGAATAAAAATAATTTTGGCTGCATATACAGTTTAAAGAACATACAGTATTGCGTGTTTCAAATGTGTTTTTTTTTTTTTTAACTTTGCAAAAAAAAAGTACTACAAGAGTGATTTTTTGCGAAGGGATCAGGTGCTGCGAACTCATTTTCTGCTATATTTCTGCTATATTTTGCTATATTTCTGCTATATTTAGTGGCCCCTGTAAATAGGGGATTGAAGGTGCCTCTACAGGAATTATATTGTTTATTTTTCTTTTGGTCCACATACACATGCTCTTCTCCATGTTGTGCTCTAGGATGCTTGAAGAGAAGGAAGAGCCTGGTTTTCTTACTGGACTGAAGATACCAGCTCCGTGGGCTGCTGGAAAAACTGTGGAGACAGCACATCCTGTTAGAGACAATTACAAGTTCAAAGAAAGTGTACACATACCCGGGGCTCGATGTCTCTACCTCCGCTTTGACAGCAGGTGTTCCTCGCAATATGATTATGATAAGGTTTGTGAGTCTGCTCATTGGACAGTTGTATAAGGCTAGCCATACATGTTAAGGTTTCTTTCGTCCAGCTCCATGGACTGAAAGGCAGAAAGCAATAGATTCCCCCATACACGCTAAAGGGAATAGATAAAAGAATCTCCCCTGCCAGTTATTTTATTCACACAGCCACTGCCCTCGTGGATGTCCTACCTGAACAATGACTAAATCCGATTGGGTGCAGTCACTGTCAAGCCGAAAACTTTCCATCCAGCTCCTTTAATTTTGAAGATCAAAGTTTGTTGAGCCGGGTGTGTTGACAGGGTCCACGCACAGCTCAAATATTGGCCAGTTCAGTAGGCAATTGGTCAAAATTTAAAGTCGTGTATGTCCAGCATAAACACTATTGATATTTGAACTAGAATGAGTAATTTGTTATGTGCTACTTTTGAATTCTAATCACCGACCACATACTTAGGCTAGGGCTACACAGGTTGTTCTAATCTCTAGTGCTGAGAGATTACATTTCTTGTTACTCATCTGGTAAGCAGCACTGCACTTTAAATGAGGTGACTGCCATCAAATGGTTAAATACCACCTTTAGAATAACTCTCTGAATAATGCAGTCAGTTGGAGGGAATGTCAGACTGCTAGTGACCTGGACCCCTGCTTGTGTGTAAGAACAGTTTTAGTGGCTTTCCCGTGTACTGCCAGCACAGGGTATTTTTACAGTTACAAAAACCCCAAAGGAGCTGCATATTTATTACTGTATATCCAGTCTGACTATGTTCTGCATTTAAATATGCAGCTGGTGATTTATGCTGGTCCCAATACCAATAGCCGGAAAGTGGCAGAATATGGAGGAAATACACTCGGATATGGAAGTAGAAGTGTACTGGGAACAGGCTGGCCAAAGGATTTGGTGAAGGTACAATTCATATTTTTTTACATTCATTAGTTGTTTCGTAGGTGATGTAATGTTCTGTGCTCCTTGAGAAAACCAGTGCTTATCTGTATGGACTGTACACTTATACTTGATAACATGACCATCCACTTATTGGAGATAACCATCTTGATAGCAAAAGGTGATTGCATTTTTGAAATAACTGCAGTATACTGTATATACAGTATAAATTGTGTGTTTGAATGCATATAAAGTGCCATTTTCTTATCAACCGGCTCATAGTTTTTGATCACTGATGAAAAGAGAATGTACAGGTAATGATGACTGGGGTCACGCCTTAAAGGATTTTGCGCTGTCTCCAGAGTTCAGTAAAGATTTTGGGGGCAGTTCAAAATCCTTTTAAGGGGTGACCCCAATCACCATTACCTGCACATTCTCTTTTCATCAGCAATCAAAAACTATGAGCCGATTGACAAGGAAATGCCACTTTATGTGCATTCAAACACACAATTTATACTGTATATACAGTATGTCAGCTTGTGTCGGCTGTGAGCACTTTCCACAGACTGACAAGAGTAATGCAGAGGGAAGGTGGACATGTGCGCCTCTGCATTCCTCTTGTCTCTAAAAAGGGCAAACAGCCAAGACAAGCTGCTGTTAAGTAGCAGCCGTCCCCTTCAGAGCTATTCTTGGATCAGCCACCACAGGGAGGCAGGGGTGCAGTTTGGACCTTTTAGCTGTGATCAGAAAGCACAAGGCAACATGGGACAAAGTACTATATGTACTTTGACCCGTAGGGGGCAGAACTGTAAAAAAATAAAATTAAATGAAAAAAAAAAAAAATGGCTCCTCTTTAACCGCCTCCCACCCACCATATAGTAAAATGACGGACGCAAGGTGGTTCTCTCGTTCTGGGAGGACATCATATGACGTCCTCCCATTCTAACCGCACATGCGAGGCTCAGGGAGCGTGCAGCGCAGCGATCGGCGGTGCGCTGTGTCCCTCGAACACAGTGGATCACCGATCAATGGAAAGAGCCGAAGATGTCGGCTCGGTCATGTGATCAGCTATGTCCAATCACAGCTGATCACATGTAAACAGGGAAATGCCGGTTATCGGCATTTCTCTCCCCACAAGCTGTCACGCTGAGAGCTCATGAGGAGAGCCGGTAATCGGCATTCCTTGGAGGGGACATGTACACAGATCATCAGGGCACTGATGATCTGTGTAGCCCCAGCAGCGCCACCTGTCAGTGTCCATCAGTGCCAGCTGTCAGTGCTCATCCATGCCACCTGCCAGTGCCATATATCAGTGCCCATCTGAGCTGCCTTTCAGAGTCACCCATCAGTGCCAGTCAGCCACCTGCCACCTGTCAGTGCTGCCAATCAGTGCCACCTAACAGTGCCAGTCAGTGCCGCCTATCAGTGCCATATATGAGTGCTGCCTTTCAGTGCCCATCAGTGATGCCTGTCAATGCCCATCAGTGCCACATATCAGTGCCCATCTGAGCTGCCTTTCAGAGTCACCCATCAGTGCCAGTCAGTGCCACCCATCAGTGCCAGTGCCAGTCAGTGCCGCCTATCAGTGTGCATCAGTGCCGCCTAACAGTGCCAGTCAGTGCCGCCTATCAGTGCCATATGAGTGCTGCCTTTCAGTGCCCGTCAGTGATGCCTGTCAATGCCCATCAGTGCCACCTTCCAGCGCCTCCTCATCAGTGCCACCTATCAGTGTCCATCAGTGCAGCCTATCAGTGCCCATCAGTGCAGCCTCATTAGCGCACATCAGTGAAGGAGAAAAATCACTTATTTACAAAATTTTATAACAAAAACTAAGAAAAACGTTTGGGTTTTTTTTCAAAATTTTCAGTGGTTTTTGGTTTAAGAAAAAAAAAACCCCAGAGGTGATTAAATACCACCAAAATAAAGCTCTGTCACACAAAAAATTATAAAAATTACATATGGGTACAGTGTTGCATGACCGCGCAATTGTCATTCAAAGTGTAACAGCGCTGAAAGCTGGAAATTGGCCTGGGCAGGAAGGGGGTATAAGTGCCCAGTAGGCAAGGGGTTAAAGTGATTATTTCCATAGCAGTATATAAACAAAGATGATGTCCTGTCAAAATACTGTCAGTATAACCAATATGAGGAGAGCTGTCACAGTTCATTCTTTTAAATCAAAACATATTTTTCCTGATTTTTTTAGTTTTACAAAAAATACAGTATAACTGCTGTTACTAAATCCTCAATTTCAAACAGAAACCTGCATTCATCTTGAGAAACAGTCCTGCTGAGCACTTTTTTCAAAAGCATTCCTATATTCCGTTACACTGGAATTCTGGTTGACTGGTTGTAACATATTTTCTTATTCTAGCCCAATAAGTGATGTCTGGTTTATGTTGTCAGGTAGAGGGCGATACTGTCACATTTTCTTTTGAGATGAGAAGTGGTCGCGAGCATAACACACCAGACAAGGCAATGTGGGGATTCTCCTGTACTGTCAGGGCACAGGTATGTATGTTTTAATACCTACTAAAATTACTAAAAATGTCGAGTAAGTGATGTTGTATATCTTTAAACTCATTGCATGGTTTGAATTTTCGAGTGTAAGTGTACTTGTAACTTCATTGTAACGTTCTGCACCTCTGACAGGCGTTTGACTAAAGTGCACCTTTTAAAAAATAACAAAGCACATATTTTTGAAGGTACAAAAAGTGTATTTATTATTTACTGACAGACTGTTGTCTGTCGGTACCTTCTATAGTTCAGACAGTTACTGGGGATTGAGAAGATCAATGAGCTACGAGAGCGCCTACCGACACCCTCGCAGTTCGTTGAGAACTACAAGCCTTCTGCCGTGTTGGCAGACAGTAATTGTAATTATAATTCATTCATTCACAGATTGCTGTGAACAAATGACTCAGGCCTTGTGGGTGGAGCCCTGCATTGCAGCACTCTTTTTAAATTGTGACAGCGGGTGCAGGAAGAAGATTCCTCACCTGCTGTCACAGTGGGGGATCGGAGAGGTGATGGCAGGTGCTTTTTGGTAGCATGCTACGAATGGTGAACGTATTCTTTAAATTCGTGCTTATCTCTGAGATATTAAAACCGATCCGGTTTATTTTTACTTTCCTTGTTTATTATCTTGCCAACCTAATTCTCCCTTCCACCCCTGCCAGGAATCCCAGGTTGCCTTTTTACTGACTGTCTACTTCACTGATGGCTGGCTTCTTCTTCATTATTATCTGCTGGGCCAACCAATAATGTCTGCCCCAGATCACAAACCAGATCTGGCAACATTGCTGTTTTTGTGTATATGTTGCTGCAGCCCATAGCGACGTCTAAATAAAAAAAAGGCCTTTCCCCTGCGATTTCACAGTTTATACACAAGATCTCCCTGGAAGGTAGTAAAATAATATTTCTGTATCGTACAATACAGGACAAAGACTGTCAACCATATGTAATGGGTCATATGCTACACCTTGAGGTGTCTGGACACTAGGAAAGACTAGTCAAAGCTTTTAATACTCTCTCATATATTCCCTCCCATCATATGATCTTCAGTTTGTTTTGTTTTTTTTGCCTACTGTCCATAGGTGATGGATGCATAGATCTGTGATGTAGAAGGTAGTTATTAGTAGGAACTAGTAGACTAGTTAAGAGCTGCAGAAAGCCACAGCAGCAGAGGGTGACAGTTTTCTGAATCCGTCCCCCCCTGCTTTGTGCTGGGAGGACTGTGACCAAACGCTGGATGGAAGATAGGTTTGGGGCTTGCCTGAAATGTTATAACTGCACTGGAATTCCTCCAATTACAGGGAACCCCACCAGAGGGAACAGTAGACCTGACCAAATTGGGTGAAGTAAGTGTGTACAGCAGTGGCTTGTTCTCAGAGCTGCATCCATGGTAGTGCAATTGCAAGCACTGGCCTGTTAAACACGGTCCAGGACAGTCCAGGGGTTAATTTGCCAGGCTCCCATGCACCTGGGTTTTGGAGCAGGCAAAAGGAGAGGTGGACCTTTTTTGGAGGATGGATTTCCCACGTTTAGGCTACGCCACTCTGGCTCTCAAAGTGTGTGTGTGTGTGTGTGTGTGTGTGTGTGTGTGTGTGTGTGTGTGTGTGTGTGTGTGTGTGTGTGGTGTGTGTACGTACCCACTTTTTCTATGCATTTTCCTGTTTGGGTATATGATTGTTCAGCCAGCGGAGCTTGTGACGACAGTGGGCTTTGGTAGAATGGGTGCCAGGAGGGGCAAGTATTAACTTGTTTTCACAAATTTAAAAAAGTGAGGGTTTGACAACCATGCTATAGCCGAATGACGGCTACAGCATGGTTATCCAGTTCTGGGAGGGAGTCATATGATGTCCTCCCAGAACGCACCCTCCCGTGCACCCCCAACGGCGCATACCCAGCGCTCTCCATGATCGCTGTGTCCTACGGATACAGCTGATCACATGAGGTAAGAGGCAATCACAGCGGCCTTCTACCGCATGATTAGCTGTGTCCAATGACACATCAGATCACAATGTAAATACAGTTGCCAGTTATCAGCAACACTTTCCTCAAGCTGTCACAACTGGCAAATGACACGGAGGCCATCTGCACCGATCATCAGGGCACTGATGTTCAGTGCCTCCCACCAGTTTCCGTCAGCACTGCCCATCAGTGCCACCTATCAGTGTCCATCATTGCTGCATATCAGTGGTTCCTCATCAATGCCTACCAGTGCCTCCTCATCAGTGCAGCCTCATTAACGCACATCAGTGAAGGAGAAAATTACCTGTTTGCAAAATTTTATAATAGAAACAAAGGAAAAACTTTTTTTTTTTTTTTTCACGTTTTTTTTCCCCCTTTTTTTATTATAGTGCAATTAATAAAACACCCAGTGATGATTACATACCACCAAAGGAAAGCTCTATTTGTGTGAAAAAGGTGATAAAAATTTCATATGAGTAGAGTGTTGCATGACTGCGCAATTGTCATTCAAAGTGCAACAGCACTGAAAGCTGAAAATTGGCCTGGGCATGAAGGAGGTAAAAGTGCCTGGTAGTCAAGTGGTTATTAAAGTGAAAATGAACTTCTACAAAAGTGAAAAAATATTTGCCCCCTTCCTGATTTTTTTTTTTTTTTTTTTTTGCATGTTTATCACACCTAAATGATTCAGATCATCAAACAGATTTTAATACTAGACTGATAACACTGTTCAACAAATTTTTATTTTTTGCCAGTTTTGGAAACAAAAGGATCCATTTCTTAATGAATTTCACATTCTGAGTTCAAATATAACAATGAAATTTGTCAATTGGCTCTAGTTTTTCTGTAAATGGAAAGTTTTCTACTATAGGCGTAATGACTACATAATGCACAATAATTATATAGATAGATGTCTTTCCACAAATATAAAGCAAGTGATATTGACTACATAACAAAGCCTAAATGGCATAATATATTGCATAGGATTACCAAGAAAAATTATAGCCATAAGCTAAGTTGAATCATTTTAATACTTAGGATTCTCACTAGTTTTGTCTTCAGTTTGTGTCGGTTTTGCTTCTCTTGGCTTTTCTCTTGTATTAGAGGAAAGGGCTATCTCTTACAACTGCACGTGACTACACGCTTCAGGTTCTTCCTCACTTGACTCAACCACGAAGGATTCTGGTGCTTTAGGAATTGGTAGCCCTCTCCATGAGGAACTGGACGTATTGCCGATGGAATATTTGGATAGTGCACAGATAACTTTTTTCTTCTTATTTAGCTCTTTTGTTGGAGGCACCATACAAAAGTAACAATTACTAACATGATCTGTTTGCTCTCTCCAAATCATTGGCACTGCGAAAGGCATAGATGCCTTTTTTCCATTCAACCTTTGCTCCAGTGCCGTCCCACAAGAATTGCAGCATATATGTGGTGCCCAGCTCTTGTCCTGGTCTCCTATCTTGCAGCCAAAATACAAGTTGTAGGCTTTCTTAATCATTCCTGTTATCCTCCTTTTTTGTGAGATAAAAGTTATTTCACCGCAGATATAGCCGAAATTATCTGCTTTATTCACACAAGTTCGAGGCACTACTGAGTAGCCTATATAAGCATAAAACGAAATGTAAAGACGCTGTCGAACTACAATCAGCTACAGATACTGCAGCTTTTATGCAGTGAAGTGGATGCAATTAAAGGCTAATATTGCATCATCTCAGTATACATGCAATTTTCTATTGGTCACCAGTATCAATTGCGCAATATGCAGCTGAAGTTGCATCATAATTTTGAATGGCTTACGTCATTAGATGGGTGAATATATCATGGAAACTAGAGCCAATCAACATTTTTTAGGGTCATTTTCAGCACCCCAAAATTATGTAAGATTAGCTAATTTTTATGCCCAAAACTTTTTACCTGTTGAACAGTGTAACCCGAGTAAATACAAAATTAAGTTTTTGATTATTTCATTTATTAAGGGAAAAAGCGGTATAAACCTGCCTGGCCCTATGTTAAAAAGTGTGTGCCCCCAACTCCTTGCTAAATCATGAATTAACTGTGATTAGCCACATTTTCTGGAAAGCTGAGTTACATTTCATTTGCCACACCCAGGCCTGATTACTGCCAGACCTGATGAATCAAAAAATCACCTAAATAGAACCTGTCTGACAAAGTGAAGTATGTTAAAAGATCTAAAAAAGCAACACCTCATGCCGTAATCTAAATAAATTCAAAAACATGAAAAAAAGTA